TCAGGTTCCCACCCCCTTGAAGGAGGCTGTGATCAGGTCCATCCTAAAGAGGCCTAACTTGGACCAAAAGGTTGCCACCAATTATAGACCAGTGGCCAACATCCTGTTTTGGGCAAGGTGTTTGAGCAAGTGGTGGCTGGGCAACTCCAAGCACTTGGAGGAAACTGACCATCTGGATCCATTCCAGTCTGGTTTCAGGCCTGGCTATGGGACTGAAGCTGCCTTGGGTGCCCTGTATGACAACTTGTGCAGGGAGAGAGATGGGGAAGTGCGTCCCTTGGTTCTCCTGGACCTCTCAGCGGCTTTGGATATCATCAACCATGTTAGCCTTCTGGATAGGCTAGCCGAACTGGGGGTTGGAGGCACCACTTTGCAGTGGTCCCGCTCCTATTTGACTGGATGATTCCAGAAGGTGGTGCTGGGGGATTATGGCTCTGCGCCATGGCAGCTTTGCCATGGAGTTCCGCAGGGTTCCATTTTATCCCCCTTGCTCTTTAACATCTACATGAAACTGCTGGGAGAGGTCACCCAGGGGTTTGGGCTGCAGAGTCACCAGTACACCGATGACACCCAGCTCTACCTCTTTTACATCCAATCCAGGTGAGGCAGTGGCTGTCCTTAACTGGTGTCTGTCCAATTTGATGGACTGCATGAGGGCCAATAAATTGAGGCTTAATCTCGAGGACAAGATGGAGGTCCCACTAAAGGACAGGGTGCACAGTTTGGGTGTGCTCCTTGACCCAGAGCTGTCCCTGAAACTCCAGGTGGGAGTGGTGGCGAGAAGCACTTTCCTTCAGCTTCTGCTGGTTCATGAACTGTGCCCTTACCTGGATGAGCAGAGCCTAGCAATGGTGATCCATGCCCTGCACTTCTGTAACACACTGCATGTGGGGCTGCCCTTGAAGATGGTCTGGATACTTCAGTTGGTCCTAAATAGAGCAGCCAGGATGTTAACCGGGATCAGCAGATATGCTCACATAACGCCAGTCCTTTACCATCTACACTGGCTACCTACTGAAGTCTGGGTCCAATTTAAGGTGTTGGTGATAACCTATAAAGCCCTAACAGCTTTTATAATAGATATTATGCTTTGCCTTTATTGTTAGACTATCCTGAGACTTATGTACAGTACGGGGCACAAAGTTTTAAACAAAGTAAATAAATAAATAAATATTCTGCATGGATTTCCTGTGCTATTATTTTCACATGGAGAGTAACTCACAGCAACCATACAATTCAGTTCATTGTTATATCCTTGTGTCTAATTTGGCTCCAAGGTTCCATGAGTCTAGAGATCAGACTTTCTTTTCTACACTTCTGGTACAGTCCTTTTCCTTGGTTATAGGTATCAGATCCATAACTTTTGGCTGCCTTTGTACAATACAGAATTCCACCATCTAACAGCAGGAATCTACACTAGGGAGAGACTATTATACCACTTAAGCTATGACTTTATTCTCTGAGAATTCATCCCCTCTGACAATTAGGTAAACTACACAATTTGATTTGTATTGACTCATTTTATATAAGAGTATCTAAATTTATTTCCAGCACTGCCTAGTTGGTGGACAAAGAAGTCCACCAACAATGGAGCTTATCTGATTTATCTGAGATGGAGACAGCAGCCAGATATTGTATTTTTTAAAAACAGGATCTACAATTGTCTGTGACAGTGTTTGACTTGGTAGACTTAAGGCATTTAAAGGATCAAAGCACTTCTAACACTCCTTCTCCCATATCAGCTTTAGACTGACCATCAGCCATCTTGACAACACTATACAGTCAGCATTTCTCTTCCCTCCACCAGCTGACTTCATAAGTCAGGAGATTTCAAGTTCGCATGCTTTTGTAACCCTCTAAGTTGGCCTAAGAAACCTATATGGAAGCTTGGATTTTTATGGCAAACCTAACTGCCTTAACTTTTGTTTCTAAAAGTTATCAAGTTAGTCCTGTGTAACAATAAATCCCTGGATTTATTCTCAGACCTGGGATGCACCAGTCTGAAGGGTGCCCAAGTAGAGATACTGAACCATAAATTTTTGAACTTCTACCTAGTCATAAAGGGTTTCACAGAAAGATTTCAGAGTGAATTTTCTCAGAACAAGTTTGGTACCTGAATATAAAGTTTAGGGAGGTTCCTTCCTAATAACTTTTATATGCAGTTTTTATAATCTATACTTTTATATTCATGGTAAACTACCCCAATATTCAGAACAGAAGGTGATCATACAGGGTGATTAGTTGGGTTAATGTTTGACCTCAGCGAGCTGGTAGGGAGGTTCAGATGTATTCTGCTACCAAGACATTTGATTGGCCATGTTCAAAGAGATTCTCCTGAATTAGCTGACTTGGTGGCCATATGGCAATTTGGTAGGGATCTCCATGCATTCCCTAGTCCCAAGAAATACTCCATTTAATCTCCCTCCCTTGCCCCACTCCCCACCTCCCGCACACACGCAGAGGGAGAGAGAATCTTCTGCAACCCCTTTATCTTCTTGGTGTCCATGCTGTATTTTCTAGTAAAAAGATGGATTCCCTAGCCACAATTTCGAAGTAATGTCCAATGAATGTATAACGTAATACATATGAGAGCCAGCACACCTTCCTATGTAAGAAAACGTATTTGCATGTCAGAGGTTTGAAAAGACTGTCTCATGTTGTTGCTGTTAGTTCATGCTCACAGAAAAGTCAGCTTTTGCTAATTTGACCCATATTCTTTCTCCCCACACCCCAAGCTTATTGAAAGCAAAAATAAAATTTGACTAATAGCGGGGGAGAGTTGGAGAAAGGGAAAGAGATAAAGAGAGAAATGTTTTTTAAAATAAGTGCAAGAAATATAAAAAAATACTTTTCCTTTGGAAAAGTGACTGCTCAGGTCCCATATACATGGGATTTTTTGCCTCAGTGTACCTTAGTTTACATTTGCTTATATTGAACTGCATTTGCTCTTTAATGACTATTGCCCTAGTTTTGAGATGTCCTTTTGGGGCTCTTGGAGTACCCTTTTTACTACCCCAGATACTTTGGTGTCATCAGCAGAACTAGCCACTTCACTGTTCATCCCTAACTTTAAATAATTAAACAAGATTTCTTTGACAATTCTGTTTTATGCATCTGGTACTGCTACATGTAAGAAATTGAGACATTGCATGAAACTTCAACCAGACTGCTTGAACTTAACAAGGCCCCTTATATGCTAGTCCGAAATAAACAATTACATGGGAAATCTTGAATGACTTAAGTTCCTACCTGCCTTATAAGGTCACTGTAAATAGACACAAGGAACAGTTCATATCTCTAGAACACCATCCTTTGGACAACTATCCAAGTGTGAAATTTCCTGCAGCTCTGATTTATTTTACTTCAACTATGATATTACAGTTTGACTTATCTACTAGCTGTAGACATTAATATATATGCTAGCCTTCACCATATGCGTTGGGCTACAACTCCCAACAGCACAGGACATCATGGCCATTAGCCAGACCGACTGGGAACAAAGATTTAGTCTAAAATATCTGGAGTGTATCAGGTTGAGAAAGGCTACCATATGTTTATAGGAGCATTTTTGGCTGGAAAGGCTTTAGGATGAACTATCTACATCTCATCTAGCATATTCAAGTAGATTGGCACGTATGCAAAACATCAAACATTAGTCCCAAAGGCCCCAGTATACAAGTAGTATATTTAAGCTGCCTCGGAAGGCCTTGGCAGTTATAGGCAGTCTATAAATACATGTATAAATATGTAGTATACAAGGCCTTAAAACATCTGTGCTTAGAATTCCCACTTTCCTTTTAGATTCACATTTTGTAATGTTCCATTTAGCATAGCTAAGTTTGCACACAGTGATACCACCACCTGCATGAGTTATCCCCAAAGGTTTCTAGGCTGCAAGGTCAGAACAAGAGTTAATTGGATTGAATCTCAATTGCATTCCTGTGGGAATTGTTGCCATTGCCCCCTAGGGTTTGGGAATACTGTTTCAGGCAGCATGTTTCTGTTCTAACTGATCTTCTGAGAGTTGTCAGGGGACTGAACATAAAAAGGGGCTGAAAACTGCCTTTTGTCTTCCTACTCCATCTGGTTTCAGACTTGAAGCCTCATCTTTTGGACACTATTCTATGCTAAGAACAAGTATAGGCAAGTTTGGTATTTTCTATCTGGAATACTGTTCCAAAGGTTACTGATTTTTATGTTTCCTCCCTCTTACAAATGAATTTAACACTTACTTCAAGAGTTGTGTGTACTTCTAAGGAAATTTTGGTACTACATCTAAACATGTAGGCTAAGATGTGAATTGAACAAGGTCTGTCAATACCCTGGCTCAGGCTGAGGCGGGTATAAGAGGTAGCAAACTGTACCTTGGCAATTGTTTGTTCTTGCCTATAGCACTGGAACCCAGGGCAACCCTTTCCCTTCACCCTCTCCTTGCCTGTCTATTTAATTTCCACATGTATGGGCCCTTGCAACCCAGCCCAAAGCTATGAAGAATAAACTTGGGATCATACAGAATTGTTTTTTAAAAAACAGAAAGATCACCCCCAAACTAGCCCATTCCACTTCTGCAGGGAGTTCTTTGTCCAATGCCTGCAAGGCTACACATGTGACCACTCTATATGCTAACAGTTTTCCATTAGGTTACCTTGTCCATCTTCTTACACAATATAGTCCAACTGGTTCTTATGCTTCAGCAAAATTGTATTAATCACTCAGTTGGAAGCGCTTGATGGCTCTCCCCCACTACACAGCTTAAGCCCCTGGAATGATTTAACTGCCTGCTACACCCAGGTTGACAAGTATTTGCATAATAAAGCATATATTAATTCATTATCTCAAGGGTAAAGAAAAAGAAATGGAAGAACATTTAAGAATACATGCCTGAACCACCCAGAACTTGAAAACCGAAAGAAAAACAAGTCAGAACTTTCATATGCTTTCAGGATCATATTTGGAAATGTGTCTTGAGGCCAGAATTAAATCACAATCAAATGAGAAAGTTTTACAGTAAGACCGAGTAGCTTTATTTCAATGGAAGTTTGTAGCAGAATGTAATTTTGTATAAGCAGCTGAAAATTAAAAGAACACTTAGGGTACATATCAAACTCCCAGTTACCCATTAAAATATGCTTCAGAGCAGTTCCTATGCAGCAAGGTAATGCTACTAGATCCTCATGATCATTTCAGAACTGTTTGTAGTAACCATAATTGGCAATTGTTTCAATTTTCATTGTCTTTGAACATTTTGCTTAAATATTCAAGTAACGCTGCAAGCTCAGGATTTCCACCAAGTGATTCAATTTGCTTATAAGCTTCAGACTCAAGTTCTTCCAATGTTTTCCGAGTGTATTCAAAGGAACCCACATCTTCAAGGTAATGCACACAATATTTTTTAATGTCCACATTTTCAGTCCTCTGTCGCAGAATATTCTGCACCTGTGTGCTTTCTGGCCTGGACCATATGGCATGGATAGTTGGGAATGAGAATTTCCCTTCTGTTAGGTCTTCACAAAAACTTTTGTTCTCACTATATTCTTTGGAGTGCAAGTTTGCATAGTCATCTCTAATTTGGAAGAAGAGCCCAAGGGTGTTAAGGAGTGGTTTTAAATCTTTTTTATAACTGGAGAACAACTGCATGAGGCCTACAGCTAGTCCAAAAAGGCCACCTGTCTTTTGCAGAACCATTGCTTTATATTCTGCTTCTGTAGGACAGGTGTAAGTATCTCTCCAGTGAATATCCAAGCCTTGGCCTTTATGGAGTTCCAGCAATTGGCGAGTGAACACTTTCACAGCATCTGGGTGATCAAGTGTTAAAACCTTTTGCAAGCCAAGGAAATAAACAAAGTTTGCACAATTTATTACAGATGGTATTCCATAGATGCTATGAGCTACTGGAAAACCTCGTCTTAGCTTTGAATTGTCTTCTATGTCATCTATAAGCAAACTTGCATTGTGCAACATTTCTGTCACTTCAATGATAACCTAATAAAAGAGAAAAAAGTCAGTCCTTTATTTCACTTTGTTCTCCCTCAGCTACTTTTAGATGATTCCATATCCAATGAACAAATCCCAATTAATGTATCTGTTTTATTTAATACTCTGCACTGCTACACAGGCATGAAGATGGGAAATTAAAACTGGGAACGGGTCAGAAAAGGGAGTAATGCACATGCATGAGTGTGTCTAAATGGGCACATGAAAGGCCGGAGTTCCAGTTCCCACCTCAGAAACATGTTCCGAGCTCAGAGTTGGAGCTCTAGCCCTGAAGTGCTCTCCCTCACCTCCCACATCAGCTGTGGTGCCAAGAATGGAAGAGTGACCTTGGAGCTGGTGGATGTTGCAAGGGGCAGGGAGGAGTGAGGCTCTGCCAGAATATCTCCCCTACTAGGACATCAGTCTGTTCTCATATGCAGATACAAACCACTCAGATGGATGAAACCATCCCTTTAAGTTTTTTGTTGGGCGCAAGAAATGTACATGAGATGGCTCCTTCAATTCTGAATAGGACACCCATAATTCTCTGAGTTCAGAAAACTTCAGGCATCTCAACTGGATTGTGCCTGAATAACCTTTCCTATGTCTATGTGATTACATTTTTAAAACAATTTTTTCTTGAATTGGCAATTCAAATTAGTGTGAAGAATGCAACTCACCTGTAGCTTATCTTCAGGAACATTCAACCAGTGATTAAAGGCTTGAGAAAGTTTGGTTCTGACTTGTTTACCTATAATTCAGAAAAAAAGGTATTACCACCTGTACAAAGCATGAAGCTTTGCAAAATTCCCAAACCACATCAATCCCTTGCTAGCCTTAAACATCTCTAGAAACAGTGGTGCATATGAATGCTGTGTGTACAACTTACTCAGATTCAGAAAAACCTTGCTATGTGGGAAAACTCTAAAGTTGATAGAGATATGTTCACTATATGGGGTGAAGTATTGTCTGGCCTGATTGGAAGCAAGTCCCAACTTAATTCAGGCCCTTGTGAAGAGATGCTTACCATACTTCTATGCTGGTATGCTGGACACATACCATGGAATTGCATATTGTTCCAGAGTGTCACCTTGTCCCAAGTGCTATCACTGATAATTGTCAGCTTTTTTAAATATACATTGATTTGAGCATCAAGAGCGTACTATTTTAATTAGCTGTGCTTAGAGTCAAGGCTGTACTCGTGCAAGCCAAACAGACCACACACTCTTCTCCCATAAACTGCTACTACTGTGTAGCTATTTGTTCAGCTGACCTTTACATAAGGCAGCTGCATTTGTTACTAAAGGCAAGGAATGTAGTTAATATGCTGATGAAAAATCCCAATTACCAGTATAATCTGGATTTCATTTTCCATTATGGCTGAAACCAAAGAACTGCTGGCAGGCATGTCAAGTTTATCCTAAAAGAATACATTCAATTATTGTGGGATGCTCTTTTTAACTGACTCAGAAAGCTTTAGAGCAGGGGTCTCAAACTCGCAGCCCGTGGGCCAATTGCTGGGATGGGCGGGGCACAGGGGAGGGGCCCTGCGGCCTTCAACGCGCCAGTGGCGCCCGGGCCGGCGGGATGAGCAGCCCACCACCCCTGCGGTGGTGGAATACTTGATGCGGCCCAGCCTCACCCAGGCTCTACTTCCAGCGGCCCCCAGGCAAGTTGAGTTTGAGACTCCTGCTTTAGATACATCCAGAGGTGCACATGTGGAGAAGCTGCATGTGCCAGGGGTCCTGAGGCTCCCATCTCCTACTGCACCAGTCAACAGAATGCTGAAAAACGCCACATGGCAGTCATGTTGCAGCCTGTTCCACTTTTAGGAGGAAGCAAGTAACATTCTAGATTCATCATTTAAGCATACTAGGCTCTAATGTTTGTTCAGTATGATCTGGATAGCAAGGCTTGTAAAAAAAAAAAAAAATACACACCATGATATCACTTTTTTTTTTTTTTTTTTGGAAGTGGAATAAAATAGTAGCAAGAGGTCATTTACAAGAAGCAAATGCTAACAGTTTCAGCCTGCTTTTTGGTCACATGTTATTGGGCACAAGTATCAGTGCATGGCACAGTTTAAGTTCATTCCATTCATTTTTATACTTCCCAATAGCTGAAACTCAGGCAGTTTACAAAGATTAAAAATGTATTATAAAAACCCTATACATCCAAACATGCAGTTCATAGAGACCCAGATATAGTTAAAATCAATATAAATTCAAGATCAATGAAAATGCCAACATATGCTGTCAAGCATCTAAGAGGAGGAAGTTTTAACAAGCAGGTAGCCAAGAGAATAAATAGGAGACGGAACAAAATGTTTACTATAGGCGTTAAAGCTGGAAAAACATTCTAGGCATATCAAAAGGGCTGCTATGGCTAATAGTTAAGATACTAGTTCATCAGACAGACATGACTAGAATTCATGAGATACTACCTGGCAGTTGCAGTAAGTAGTTATACGGCTCGAGGAGAATTCTTTTGGATGTCTCTTCTATTTGTTCCATTTTTTAAAAAACTATTTTGAAGTAGTGTGATTCAATCTGTTTAAGAACAAATTAACAATGTACTTTAAATATCATCAGGAAAAACAAAGCTGAAAAACTAATGAAGTACAGACTGAGTCAGTGTACAGATGACTGGAGCATCTGAACCAATAGTCAGCACTGCACTGTTTACTAAAGTCTGCTTTAAATGACGTCCTTCCATGCATCTTCCACAAAGTTCTAAAGATCAGTAGACAGCTACATTTCTTAGAAAGCACCACTACGAAAACTTCCTGAACTTTTACAAGGTTTTTACACATCTGCAACACAAGTTACAGTAGTGTTTCCAAGCAGCATTGCGCAACTTTTCCCACGTATCAATTCAGAACCCTTGTTCTTACATCCTGTACATTTTCCCTTATCACAATGTTTCAGGATGTAGGGAAACTATGTTTTCAGGTATTGTTTTGGTCTCCTCCCACCCCACCCATAATCGTTCTTTTCCCTCTCATCTCTGTATTTCTTGCTGCACTGCAGATGTAGCTGCTTCAGACTGAAACAATTCATCTCATGCAATTTAAATACAGAAGCTGCAGTCATAACATAGTCCCATGCCAATTTAGCAATCTTGCTGTCAACTGGTGAACACGCAACAAATTGTTTTCTAGCATATAATTCTTAACCAACTCCCAATAGTTTCACATATATTTATTACAAAATAGTGCAACATTTACAGCAGGAAGTGAATCAGAAAAGAACATCTAAGAAATGGGCTGATAAATACCAACTATCCAATGTAAGTCCACAAAGCATCAGTTCTTAGAGCTTCAACTGGTTTAGCCTCAATTATACAATCGAAGTCGAGATTAAAATAATGCTTTGTATTCTCAAATATTTGATTTCAAATGTATTATATTTTTGGCAGTTATTCAGTGAAGCAGGATCCACCATAAGAGTGCTGGTTGGCACACTCACATATACCAGATAATTTCTCCCATCTTTTATACAGAACCTGCAGATCTGCTCAGTGCCCAAACACAGCAGCACTATAGCATTTCCAGGAGAACCAAATTTATTTGAACTGAGAAAATAGCACAATTAAGACTACTAGACATGCATAAAACTTGCATTGCAAGCCCCCCCCCCACTGTTTTACAACTGATACTAATAAAAGGTTTAAGCTAATATGACAGACAATGCTGAACTGGATGTTTAGATTTAGGCTTCCTTGATGTAGGATTAATCACTAGACTTCAATGATCAATTATTAGAGCAATTAAAGCCTGTTGTGTTGAACCAGCCTGATCATTTGCTAAATGTGCTTCATAAATCTAACGTATAATTTTTATTGCAGTATTAAAAAAAGGATTGCAGCAGATGCATAAAGTCACCATGCAAACATTTTGGTATAATTGTAAGCAGTGCCTAAATTGTGAATATTTATGTAAGAATACAAAATACTGAATTAATAAATGCAGAAAAATCAACAGTTGTCTTATACATCAGGCAATCTTGGAAACCAACTAACCAGCAGAAATAGCTAGGACACTTTCAGCAATTAAGTCCACTTTGTATTACATCTTTCTTACATGGAAGGTCTTAGTAAACAAAAGCACACAGACTATCGTTTCAATTGCAGATTTTAAAAATACCTTAATAAAAGTATATCAAATATGTGATGCATATTCCTGGAATAGGAATGTACATTTAACGTTATCACACATGTTAACATTGGAAAGCCAGTGTGGTGCAGCGGTTAAGAGCATGGCACTAGGACTCCATTGACCTGGGTTCTAGCCCCTGCTCAGCCATGGAGCTAAATGGGTAACTTTGGGCCAGGCACAGACCCTTAGCCCAACCTACCTCACAGGGCTGATGTTATGGATAAAATTGAGTGGAGGAGAAGAACTGTGTAAGTTGTTTTGAGTACTTTGTAAGAGAAAAGGTAGGATATAGATCTAAGAAACAAACATTGATCTTCAGTTAACTGATTCTCTTCTGTTTAGGAAATTTATTGGCCTATGACCAACTTTTAATAATCCCTCACATTAAAATTGCTTTGTATTATTTATATGAAATTAAACCTATTTGGACTGGCTTTGTTTCCCTTTTTAGACACAGTAAATTATCAGATTTATAGACTTGGCTCTCCAAAGGCTTCACACTTTTTTCTTACTATTGAATAAATTCACTGAACATGTCGTCTATTCCATACAGTAAATACAACCCAGACACTTTTATACCAGAATAAAAAAGTGTTAACGTGCAAAGCTTACATTTAAAAGGATACATAGGCAATCTTCTCCAAGTAAGAATTTTGCTATACAGTACTATTTATTTATTTATTTAGAATATTTCTATTCCGCCCCATTCGGAAAAAGCCTCGGGGCAGCTTACTTCGAACACTCTTGAAGCTCAACAAATATAGAAAGAATCTGATTAAATAAACTAGATTGTTAGTTCATCCTGTACCAGATCTTAAGACTGCTAACAACAGTGCTTTAAATTTGAGCGAACAAAACTAGTTGCCAGTATCAAAGAATCTCTAAGAACTTTAGAGGTGGAAAATACACTCCTTCAGCAACATTAAGGCATTTTAAAGGCATACCTTAGGAGGAGAGTCGCCCTTGAATACAAGAACCGTCCCTTTCTCTTGCACTTCACACACTTGCGCTCGACTCCGCAAGCCTACGAAAAGAGCAGCGGCACACAGGCGAGCTCCGAGGAAAGCGCTCCAGCCGCTCCTCCCGACACGACCACGTACGTGCGGGGCTTCCTCCTCAAGCACGCCGCGGCCACATCTTATAGCAGAGGGGCGGAGCGTCCTAATAGGAAAGGGAGGAGGAGGAATGAAACCAGACACCTTCCTTGCGAGAAGGGGAAACAGTGGGCGGAGACTGAAAGGGGGCCTTTCTTATGCATGAAATTCAAGAGCGTTGACTTCAACCTACCGTAGCCTCCCCCACGACTTCTTCACTGGTCCATTCTAAGACCTCGCCGGGAGTTTTACGCGTCCCTTCGCCCGTCTCAACGCAATAACGGCAACCACAAAACCCCACCCCCTTCCGCCTCAATCGCCACCTTCGCCTGATGGGGGAAAAATGCGCCACCAGGGCCTCTTGGCGCAGGCGCGAGCTCCTCCTACAGACGTTTAATAAGCTCTCTTCGACTCCCTCTGCCCCTCCATTTTCTCATTCGCCTTCTGCCTCGCAATGCATCTTAGGAACTGTAGTACAATTGAGAAAAAAATCCCTTCGCAGGCTGCGACAATTGGGCGAATGAGAAACCTTGCTACCCAAAAGCCACCGCGACGCCAAGTCTCTGTTTCCATACAACCTGTGAGAGAATTACATCAGTGTTTCTGATAGAAAGGCTAATGGCGTTAGGAAGTAGGCGGGCTTTGTGGCTTTCCAGCCAGTAGTGGACAGGTAAGGCGGGGAGGGGGTGGGCTTTGAGCTGTCAGTCACGCTTCGGATCTTGGAGGGGGAGGGGAGTGAACAGCTTGGAGCGGAGCCGCTGCTGTCGCCGTCGCCACCGGGGTTCGGACGGGAGGGATTGGCCCCCGCTATTGCCGGGCGAGAGCCCCTCGACCATCCTGGGAACCAGGCGGACGATTGCTTGATAGTCGCGGGATTTTGGCCCAGGGATCGGGTCCAGCGTTGGGAGGAGGCTCCATCCTCCTCGCCCCCCCCCCCGCAGGTTGGGGGGACCAGCGAGCGGGCGGGTGGGCGACAGCCGTGGAACAAAGGTAACGTTGCCCTGGAAAAGACCTTCCCGGTCCCCCGTGGCCCTAAGTGGGTAATGAGACTCCTTGGTGGAGGCAGAAGTCCTTTGCAGGGGCGATGAAAGAGAGAGAGAAGGAAAGAAGCGCTTTAGGTTTGTTTTTCTCCTTGTTGAGGCTGCGGCGGGACTCGCCGACCCCCCTCCCCCCCCACGAATCCGAAACCTTTGAGTCTCGGAAGGGAGAAGCGAGGAATCCTGGAGCCGCCTGTGGAAAACGAGCTGGAGGGAAGGCCTCCCGTGTTTCTCCCAGTTGACCGCCGCCTTCCCGGCTTCCTCGATCGCTGACCAGCTTCGAGCAGGGAAGCTGGGGCTGTTGCTGAAACTCCTGCCGCGGAGTCAGCGTTTGAGGGGGGGCGGGGGACAAGCAGTGAGAGCGAGCCGAAAGAGAGACAGGTTGCCGGGAAGATACGGGGAACTGCAGTTCTTAACACGGGATGGAGAAAGAGGGCGACGACGACGAGGAAGATGAGGAGAGCTGCCTGTCGAGCCGCCCCCATCTTCGCTCCTTGTCCTAGTACAATGGAGAAGCCTCCCCACCCGCAGGGAAGTGTGTGTGTGCGCGCCTGCATGAACGGAGAAGCCTCTGTCCAGGCTGGACGCCCCGTAACCTGCCTCTGTCGCCCCCCACTACTCAGCCCCAGTTGAGTAGGGGAGGTGGGAGCCACTCCCTGTGAGGAGAAGGGTTTGTTCCTCCTCAAGGGTTTATTCCTCCCCCCGGAGAGGGGCTTGCAAGGAAAGCGGGGGGTGGGGGGGTTTAAGAAGCGGTTGTTGTGGCAAGTTTCTCCGCTGACAGAAATGGCGTCAAAGGCAGCGAGAGAGGGGGAAGCCAAGCGGCGGTGTGTGAGGCTCCGAGAGGAAGCGGCCGCGATAGCTAGAGCAGCGAGGCGGCGGCGGCGGCGAAACGGGGCCCTGTATAGAGGGAGTGAGAGAGGTAGGCTGTGTCGGGGGTGGTCTTAGGAACAGAGGAGCAGCTCCTGCAGAATGCCACCCCCACCCCGCGCACACACTAGCAGGAGCGCGCCCCAATGAGAAGGGGGTTGTGTGGTGCCTCAGTGCTTTGTTTTAAATTTCAGGTCCAGCCTCGGCAGCTCAACCTCTTTCGGGCTTTTCTCCTGCAGCCAGAGTTCATCATGAAGGTAAAACACTTACGGGTAGAGACGGGGTTAGTGGAATGGGGAGCCGCGGAGGGTTATGTCTGTCCTAGTTTGCTACCTAGTATGAGGATCGGAGCTGTTTCCGAATCGAGGCAGTTTTCTTCCTTTGGCTGAAAGGAAGGCGTGTGTATTGCTTTGGTTTTTGTATATTCTTCTGATGGCAGTGCCGAGGGCATAATGTAAATCCAGTGTGCTGGAGTTCTGCAACACCCTTTAAAAGAGGAACGAGGACATGGCTGCCTGGGCCAGCCTTGGTAGTTTGGAGGAGGAAGAAGGGGTATTTTTTTTCTCTCTAAAAGTATGGAGGGGTCGGGGGAAGCTCTCTTAAGCAGTTGTGCTTTATCTGTTCTAGTTAAAGGATAGATTTAATTTACTTTACCTTTATGGGAGGTCTATTGAATTAATATTTCTGATTTACTGGAAGTCCCTTTATTGAAGAGAAGACTGCAGCAAAAATACTGCTGCAAGATGCAGAAAGATTTTTTTAAAAAAACAGCTTTTCACGATTTGATGTATTGAGTAGTTGCATAGCATGTTCCTGTTTACTGAAAGGCACTGACAGCTGGTGGTATGTTTCTTAAAGCAAATGTAATGGAAGAAATATCAATAATGTATTCCTTATTTTTAAACGTGTATGTCTGTGAGCACATGACCTGGTGTTAAATGTTATCTAAACATCCAGACCAAGCTCCAAATGTAGGCGGTTTGTACTGTGATTAATTTGGTTTTCAGGCCTTAAAAATCTGCTAGGCATTTTCTGAATATCTGAAAATGAAATATTGTCAGATACTTGAATGATAAGCACGGGCTACCATCTTTGTTATTAAATATTGTAAGCTACTTTATCTGTTGAATAAGGTCTTATTCAGGGATATGGAGAGCTACGATTCTGCTGTGCCTGGAAGTAATAACATATTTCAGACAACTATGTTGGTAGTTCTCAGTAAATAAGCTCCATCAAGAATCTTTTCTCTTTTGATTAAATAACCATTATTTCTGAAATAATAACTAGTGAATTAAGTACTGTATCAAAATCTGTATTTTAGATTGATTGTGATAAGTAAAAAAATAGTTCTATTTTTTTCAGCAAGTGTTCCATTTCAAATATTTACACATGGCATTCCCCTTGTGTATATAGGGGAATTCTGGCCTTATTTAGGATGAGCAGCCTGTGATTATAGAAATAGCCATCCATGCAGTTCTGAAGAACTTGTCATTATAACTAGGAAGTATTAGAGAGCCATCTTTGCACTGTAACAATTGAAATCCCATGTTTGTGGTGTTTTTACTAAATGAGTAGATTTTTTAAAAGTTCTTATGATATAGGCATGAAATGAAAATTTACTCTACATCATAGTTTGGAAATTAACCAACCATTAACCATTTTAGTACCATAATATTCTAGTTTTAGCTCATGTTAGGGTGCAATCAAATGCATGTATAGACAGAAAAAAGGCTGGCAAATCCTAATATTCTCTAGCCAGCCATGGATGTTGCAGGACTCTTTCTGCCTAAACAGGCATAGGATTGTAGGAACCTTATAGTCCTATTTGGATAAGTCTGTTTGCAGTGATATTTAGTACATAAAACTTGCTTCACTGGGCATTTTTTCCAGAAATGTCCCATTTCTGTTTCTAGGGGGTTAATTCCCAATAGGTATTCATTAAAAGCTTATTCATTCATAGAGGGGTTTAGATATTTTAAGGGAAATCATGGCATAAACTTGCTATTGAGATGATGCCTGCTTTGCTTCTTCCTAGATTGTGGGATAAATGAATTGCTTACAGGTGGCAAAAAAGTATTTGAAAGTATGTGAATGCACACCCTGGCTAAAACAAGAGGATACAAAATTTGGTTACTCTAAAGACAAAAGATAGCATCCTTGCTGTGCAGATGTTTGGTTACTGACAGTTGTGGTATAATCATAATAGTTCATATATTTTCTGAGAAAGTAAACAGTAATACTTCATATATTTTCTGAACTAAGGCAGCATTGAAGAGAGGAAAATTCCACATGCCCTGTTCCAGACCTCATTCTGTTGAATGTCTGCACTTTGAATAATAGCTGGGATACATGTGTACAGGAGGAAAAATGAGCATGGTTGGCTAGGAGCTTATTCTGTAGTACTGTTAGTGCTGTGACTCATCAGGATGTTCCTTTCTGTCCTGTGCTGTGGAAGGAGTTATTCTCCAGGCTCTGTATTATACCCTCTGCTGCCTTTTCTTCCATTGTGCCTTACATTTCATTTGTAAATAACTGTTATATCTTAGAAACAGGCATAAAATATTGATTACAACTTCTTTCTAAACTTCTAGAAAAGAGCACACTACTTTCCTTTATATGAAGGAGTGTTATGCTATATCTGTAATATTGCAGGAGTAACACCAACCAAGATAACAAGAGTAGTCAAGGATTTTTTTTTCCTGCTGGTACTGTAATGTTTTAGTAGAGTGAACATAATCAGTAAAGTGATGTGGAAAGTAGTGCTTACACAGATGAGAATAAGCAATGAAAATTTTAATTAGTTGAGTGAATTCTACAAGCTCACTTTTGCAGGAATAAAATTAACCATAGAGCAATCTCCTAAGCTCTGACTGATAGACATGCTGGCTGTCCCTCAAGTGGAGCACTCAGTAATGTCTTAGTTCATATTCAAGGATATCAGTCTAGAAATGCAGTTTTTGTTCTCAGGTTGTCATTTTGCTTTTATTTTTGTGGTTTGAACTTGCAGAAATGTCTCTTTTGTACTGTAGTCTCTTAATAGCAACACTAGAATAAATATATAGTGCATAAAACAAAAGTTCACCTTGCTTTTTGTAGTTTAGTAAGTTACTTTTATTAAAATACATTGATATTACCCTCTATGTGGCATAGAAACTAATAAAGCATATAGTTGTGATGAATGAAGAGTCTTGAAACAATGGAATTTCAGCTGTTAAATATGTCTTCTGCCACTTTAAGCATATAATTAGGGATCGTTTAGTACGATATGCCAAGAGACAGTAGAAACAGCTCAATAGTTTGGGTTAATATGGGAATTACTTACTACATATGACATCTTTCCTTTAGTCCTCACAAATAGTCAATTGTGCAAGATTTTTAAGGGCACCTCTGTATATGGAATACTTTTTCTTTGTTGGTGAAAATATGAAATTCAATGCCAAATTTATCTTTGAATATAGGAGGTAATTGA